GATGTATTTAATTATTGTCATTAATAAATGTTGTTCATGTTGTGGTAAGTAAAGGAAAGTATTTTTTTTTGTAAATGTGTTCATTTATTGCCAATAATGAATGTTGATAAATAAGAGATATTCCTAAGTATATTTATAAATGAGAGATCTTCCTTGGTAGATCTTATAGCGCGTTAAAAAATAAACAAAATGTGGAGTGAAAGTAGTTGTTTTAAAAAATAATTAAAATTTTTATACAAAATGTAGAGTGAAAGTAGCCAATATAGTATGTTATTAGGTTAGCACAAATTTCAAAGTATTACTTGTTACCTTTTGAACCAATAATCTCTTGAAGATGTCATTTTCAATAGTAAGTATGAGTTTGTACAATAGTAAGTTCTCTTATAGTAAATAGTCAGTGTGACATGTTGCAATAATACGCTAATTTTATAAATATTTTATTAAAAATACTCAAAGCTACCTTGTTTGTGGGAATCTACTTGGTTTTCCAACTAAATATTAATTATTTACTCATCAATGATTAAAATGGTCCCTTATCCAAATCCAATGGTGAATATTTATTCATGTACCATACCTCAAAACTACTTTTTTGTATGATAGAATTTTCCGGTTTAATGATGTCGTTAGTCGAGCCCCCAAATTTTTTTGTTTAATTTGTTTATCATATGTACTATATCAAAAAAATTAGGGGTTGTTTGGCAAATGGGTTGGGCTAATTTAGCATATAAAAAGATAAAATAAGTTAAAAAGTCAAAATGAGACAAAACATTTATTATGTATTCATTTTATTTTATTTTTTCGTTCATACTTGAAATTATGATCCCCAGCCCCTCTCAATATTAAAAATTCGCCAATTTCGTTAGATTGAATGTCCACAATATATGTAATTCAATTAATAAAATTTGCAATCAAACATGGAACTGTGAGGCTATGGACCAACAATCCCAATGCTATGCTATAATCCTACTAATAAAACATTTCATTTGGGTATTTTTTAATTGGTTGGGTCATTGGGTATTGTTTTGACATCGTTGTGTGTTTTGTTTTTGTGGCAATAGATTCATTCTGCCAAGTCATTCTGTACAGAGTATGAGAAATCAAAGGCAGTTGCAGATAAGATCGCCTTAGATGCCGCCTCAGAGGGGGTTCCTATCGTGGTTGTCTATCCCGGAGTTGTATACGGTCCCGGCAAACTCACCGCTGGAAATATAGTCGCACGTTTGGTAAAAACCATTCATTTTTTACTTCAGCTCAATTGCTTGTATATATATACATGTGTTTTATTTATTTTTTATTTTTTATTTTAAACTATTTATATGATACATTCATGTCTAAATAAATATGCATGAATTTTTGGATTGTTGCTGAACTTCAGTATTGATGGTAGTTTATGGTGGCTGAAAAATGAGATTGATTGAATTGAAAGTGATGGTTGTTGATACAATTGTGCTGAACTGAGTATTGGTGGTGTATTTGTAACAGCTCTGATCAATTCTCTTATGCTTATAGTGTTTCAAATTTCTAGCTGGAAAATGTTACATAAATCTTACAAACAAATCTTAATAAAGCTTTGATATCTTAACTCAACTATCATATCTGCGAGTAAAAATAATTTGTGAAATTTGTATGTTTGTCTATAGCATTGGTCTTTCTAGTTGGTTAAGAACTTACATGTATGGAATTCATTACATAGAGATAGAGGTGGCTACTTTGGAGTAATAGAGTAATCTGTTGTGCATTATTGTTTTTCCAGTGCTAATTTCTAGCTTTTTACAAGAAGAAGTGAGAAAAGATTTTTTTGCACCTTCATGGGTATGATCATTGATTTTTTTCAGGCATTGAGCAAGTGTAGTCATGCTTGTATGAAGTGCATCTACTTGGCTCTTATGACTGTTGTTATGTACTGTTCTGTATATGATAATGAAATTGAAAACATTTTATGCTCTTTTCAGATTATTGAACGTTTTAATGGGCGGTTACCTGGTTATATAGGCTATGGAAATGATAAGTTTTCTTTTAGTCATGTTGATGATGTAGTAGAAGGGCACCTTGCAGCTTTGAACAAAGGTCGACCAGGCGAAAGATATCTTCTAACAGGTGAAAATGCATCGTTCATGCATGTTTTTGATATAGCTGCAGCCATCACTGAAACGAAGAGGCCTTGGTTTAACATTCCGTTATCTGTCATTGAGGTTTATGGATGGATATCACTTTTTTTCTCTAAAATAACAGGAAAGCTTCCCCTGATCAGCCCCCCGGTATGCTCTCAATCCTTCCTCAAGTTTATGCTGATCTTGAATTTTTTTTAGAATATTATGTGTTTTTTTTTTTTTTTTTTTTTAAAGTAATATATAAAACAATCTGACAAAGAATTATGTTGAAGGTTGTGTAATATATGTCTACCAACCCTCAGATTACCAGGGTTCTCCTTTATTTATTTATTTTTCTGATGAGCATCAGTAAGGATTTGTGTCCTCTCTGAAGTCAGCACTACTTTTGCTACTGCGATTTCCACCACCCTAAATTGTGAGTGAGATTTATGATTCATTTATGCATTTTTGTTTACTTATTGAACAGACAGTGTATGTTCTTGGACATCAGTGGGCTTACTCTTGTGAGAAGGCCAAGGCAGAGTTGGGGTATAACCCTAGAAGCTTGCAAGAAGGTCTAGCAGAGGTACTACCCTGGTTGAAGAGCTTGGGCTTGATAAAATACTAGATTGATGATATTTGGCTTGTGATGTGGGTGTACATGTACTAATATTGCTGTATATTAGCAGCCTATCATGATATGAGTGCATTTATGTTGATGGGAAGAGGTATAGCCATTGTGAAATTTGCTTCATTTGCCTTGAGCTTGCCATAAACTGTCACTCACTGTCTGACGTTTCAAATTCAAGAAAAATCATATTTTCGGATAAATGTACCTGATTTGTATGCGCAAATTTATGTTTGGCTTGTAAAGGCGCATTTACTTGTGTCGAATCAACATAGAATGGGTGTTGATATCTTTCTTGGTCTTCTGGTTAGAACTACGTAGGTTCATCAATGCTATGTTTGATTTTGGTTATGATGCAATAGTAAGCGAAAGTCAACAACAAAAAAATAATAATCAAATTAAATAAATAATTTCATGGTCGATAGAAAAATGAATTCATTCAAGGGGTTTTTTATTTTTTAAAGTGAAATATTTTCTAAACATAAAGAGACAGATCAATGACGTCACTATTGTTGTTGCCATTACTGCCACCCTAAAGTTGTGGCTACCACCCCTACCACCTCTTGGGCAGTAGGAGTTCGGTATGGGAAAATTTGTAAGTACAGGTAAAGATGGGATTTATTCAATCTGTAATGAAATGGATGGTTGCTTTAACGGAGGAATTTGACAACCAACCGTAGTCTAGTTTCAGCAACATAACATGTTGGATGGGTCAATTTATTTGGAAGAGAATTCTATTGGTGTGTATCATATGTCCATTTATGATTTTTTGTTGTGACATATTATGATGTTAGTTATAATTTATTGTGATATTGAGGCTTTGTTTAGGAACATGCTAATTTAGTAATTTTTTGGCTATTTAGGCCTCGTTTGGCAAGAGGTTATTTTAGCTAATTAGTCAAAAAGTTACTAAATTAGCCAAAAAGTCAACAACTCATACCAAAAAGTCAAAGATTCTCTTTTATCTCTACTTTTTGCACATCTTTTCGTAATTAGCCAAAAAGTCATCCCAAACATACAAGTTTTTTTTACCTACCTTTTTAGCCAAATAGCCAAAAAGTTACTAAATTAGCCTGTTCCCAAACGAGGCCTTAGCTAAAATATGAGCTAAAAAAAATTAGTATGTTTGGAATGATTTTTTGATTTTTTACGAAAAGATGTGCAAAAAGTAGAAAGAAAAGAGAATATTTGACTTTTTGGTATGGATTGTTGGCTTTTTGACTAATTTAGTAACTTTTTGATTTTTTAGCTAAAAGGGAGGGTTCTCAAACAAGGCCTGATTATGATATTTTTTATTATTATTAAGATTCAAAAGTTTTTAGTTATACCTCATATAGTTACAAAAAACAAAATAGGTTTTTTAGCTCCCAATAAAACAAAACATCACATTCAATCCATAATCATTACATTCTTTCTCTCACAAAAAGTCAAAAAGTCAAAAGCCCTTTCCAAATCAGGCTTTTTAACCTCAGGCTAATATAGCTAAAAAAAATTAAAAAGTTAAAAAGTCAACCCACCTCCCAAACCAAGCCTTAGTGTTACTTTTTTACTTTTTCAGTGACTTTTTAACTTTTTAATTATTTTAGGGGATGCCAAATATGCACTTAATTATGACTCGATTTTTCTTTTTAATTATGCTTAAAGAGAATCTAATTATGTCCTTTATAGTAAAGATCACAAATGTCATGACTTGCCTATGCTTCACACATAGCAATACTTTATTTGGATATATCCAGGACTGAATATTTGCTCAACCAAAGTCATCTTGATCTTTGTCAGAGTGTTTAGAAGGAGGGTAATGCTTCGATGCTTGGGAGTCATCTTGATCTTTGACTCCAGTTTTAGCAACATCTAAAATTTTACTACCCTATTTGTTTTTACATCAAGGAATTCGCATATAGAATTTTTATTTGACATCTAAGTGAGAATAATAGAAAAAATAATATTCACCAAGTTTGTTTTTAATTTTTTGAAAATACTTTTCAGAAAATTCTAATTTCTTATTTTCTATATTTTTTTTATTTTTACTGATTTTTTTTTAAAATTTTTAGACACACCTAACGTAAATACACTTAAAAAGTATAATTTTCGTGAAAAAAAATCTTTAAAAATTCACTAAATACCAAAAATATATAAAAGAAAATACAAAATCATTATATTTTTCATATTTTTGTGTATTTATTAATATTTTTAAAAAAAATTTCATAAATTCTTTACTATTTAGATACATCTAAATAAGGTGCATCTAAAAAAGTAAAAAAAAAAATTCTTAAAATTTTAAAAATATTCACTAAAAATTAAAAAAAAAAACAAAAAGTAAAAAATTCAATTTCCAAAAAACTAAATTTATAAAACTGAAACCAAAATTATTAAAATATAACAATTTATCTAGCGGCACCTAGTCAAAACCGGTTAAACTTGTCTGAATTTATAAATGGATTTAAATAGGTTTGTCCTTACGAACCTAGTTAAAATTAAATTTAATTGAATTGAACATGGTTACCACTTTTGCTATCACCACCATGACTCAACCATTGCTGCCATCTACTAGAAAAATATTTGATAAAATAAAACGGATTGATTGAGATCATTTGTTAAATTCGTATGCAAATGTCGGGAAATTTTCAAAATGATTTTCAAAATTTATAATTTAGTTCTTGAATGTTTTCAAAACCTTTCTTGATTTTTTTTTAGAAAGTTCGAAATAAGCTTGGGAATTTCATCCCACATTGGAAAGAGAGGAAAACATGAAATACTTAATAAAGTGTTAAATGAAATATTCTTTTAAATATAGAATTATGGAATGGATGTTAATATGCATGCACTCACACCACAAGGATGGAGCACCACGCCCACGTGTGGTGTGGATAGTGTGACATTTGATGGTGCACTTTGCACTGGCACCATGAGGGTGCTTTTCTATTTACATTAGGCATGGCGCCTTTCTATTTACATCAGACAGGCTAGAGTGATAACGTGGTGTGGCGATGAATCAACCAATCGATTGAACGGTTGCTTATTCGATTTGAAGTGGCTTGATAATAGCCGTTGATTGAACGTGGATCCAATGTGGTATGGGTGATGTGGAATACAATCAGCTTGGTGTTGCGTGGTAGTGAATCCATTGGCGATAAGTCAACCAACTGATCGAACGATTGTGTGTCCGATCTGAAGCGGCTTGATCATAGCCATTAATTGAAGATGTGCATGATCGTACGGTTGAAATGACACCCGATCATGATTATGTGTGATCAGTCAAGGCATCTATTCGGTGTGAGATGGATTTGCACCATAGATCATCGATCTAATGGTTATATCTGATCTATTCAGTGTGAGATGGATCTGCACCATAGATCGTCGATCCAACGGTCACATCTGATTGGATGAGATCAAAAAATATGACTTTTCAATCAAATGCGTCAAAGGTCTATAAATAGGCTGTAAAATCAGCCATTTCAATACATTCAAAAATCCTAAAAGCATTCCTACAACTCTCTCTCTCTCTCTCTCTTGATTTAGAATTTTCGATCAAAAGTTTTTTAAAGCAAGTTTCTACTTTTCTTACTAATAATCAAGTTTTGTAGACTTGGTTATTAGTGTCTTGGCTTTCTTGATTATATCAAGAGTATTCTGATCTATTATCGTCAGTGCAGACGCCGATAAACTTGATCCTAAATCAGGCTTCATTGTATCTTAAAGGCGAATTTATTATAATCCCTTGCACACCTTTTGGGTAGGTACAAATATTGTCTTTAGGAAAATAACTAAGTAACGCGACTTGAAGTGTTAATTTTCTGTACTACAAAGAGTTTTGAAGACCCGGAAATCACCAATTGAAGAATTCAAGACAAATTGCTTCAATAATTCAATCTAGCAAGATTACTCTCATTTATTAAAGGTAAATTACAAATACATCCCCTGAGGTTGTTTGCTTAAAATATGAATTGTTCCCTATAATTTTAGGAAATATGTCTTATAAGATCCGAAAATCACCAATTGAAGAATTCAAGAAAAATTACTTCAACAATTCAATCTAGCAAGATTATTCTCATTTATTAAAGGTAAATTACAAATACATCCTCTGAAGTTGTTTGCTTAAAATATGAATTGTTCCCTATAATTTTAGGAAATATGTCTTATCCTTTCAACTTTCAAATTGCATAACAATGACACTTTTTATTAATAAATTATTAACTCAATTAACAATTTTTAATTATGTTAGAAATATATTTCAATTAATAATTCTAATAATTTTATTGTTGCATAGGAGAGTAGTTAGATTATTATTTTTTTGTTAAATAAAAAATTATAAGAAGGGATATTTGTAACTTTCAGAATCCCATAGATAATTCGTATTTTAAACAAAATCTCAGGATGTATATTTATAATTTATTCTTTATTTAATAGATGGACATTGAATTATTTTAAGTGCTTATTTGATTACGCAAATTATAGTATAGGATTGAAATTATTAATCCATGAGACTTACATTTCAATGTTTGATTGTAATTTTTGTTATTTAGACCAAGGTTGTTAAAATCGGGATTCAACGTAGGATCGTTAGAGGTGTTTATAGGATCGGATCATAGAATCGGATCGAGAATCGTAGAATCGGATCGAGAATCGTAAGATCCTACCGAAAAAGACAATTACACAATAATTTTATTTAAATAAATATTTCTTATAAAGTATACACAAAATGAGTCTATATTCTATTACAAAGAAGAAAAGATATGGTGAAAAATAGAATACTCCATGTCAAATGTACATATAATATTATACAATAGAAAACTCGATGGTAAAAGTTTTGTATTTCATCAAAAAAGAAGGTGAAGAAGAAGAATTCTATAACAAAATACTTTACAATCTACAATAATGCATAAAAAATAAAGAAAAAATATTTAACAAAGTTGGATATGAAAATAGATTAAGAACTCAAAAGAGTAGCTTAACCAAATGATAAGGTTTGTCGCTAGCATCCCTGGTGGAGCGAATTCAAGTCACAAAAATAATCTCTTCAAAAATTGGGATAAAGTTGCAATCATCTTGCCCTCCTTAGACTCTGCTAAAGCAAAGTTTATTTTTCCGATT